GCTTTGGCTATATAAAGGGACTAAGGGGCTCAGAGTATGCCAGGAAAATATGCTCCAAACTGTCACTTCATCAAAGAAAGTCTGAATATTTGGATCAACATAAAAAAAAGTCAATTATTCTTGTGGCTTTTTTCAAACCTCTCTTCTCCCACCAATGGAAAAATAGAGTAAACCATGTTTCATTGGACTACATTACCTTCCACCAGTCCTTATTAGTAACATTTCTGTGCTCTTTACACCACTCAAAGTATTTTTTTCTTGTTGGTAATTGTGTCCAGTGGTTTATGTAGTACTCTTCTATGACCATAACCCATTTGTTGCAATGTTCTTCATAAGGTGTTACTTGAGATGGTTGGATTGCCCTACACTGAATGTGTGTTTGTTGACAGTTGGCCTTTACCATCCTGTGTGACTGCCTTTTTTCTTTTCTTCTCTATGTCATTATGTGTTTGTGGTCACAATTCCTCCTTGCAGCAGACATTTTATTAAACTTTTTTTATTGTTGATAAGCACAATGACCGATGTCTTGGAGCAACCTACCAATGAAACTGTCTTGGCCACTGTGGCACTGTCAAGACATAAACCTACTGTCATGCTTCTTTTGAATGCTGTTATATCTCTGCCTTCCCCCATATTGTTAGACAAACTACAAATATGCTTGTCCCAGTCATTTATAGTGCAGTAGTAAGTCACTTGGCATATTGTGTGATTCACCTAATTTACATCTGCAAGTCTGAAAGTGTACATAGTTCCTAATAAAGTGGCCAGCCAGTGTATGTCTATATATTCTTGTAAGAGAGACATGCTTTGTGGAATTTCTAATTTTTTAATAGAGAATTGTATGTATTCTTCTTTTTTTACTGGTGTTACTGATATATTTTGTTTTTGTTTAGGCTATTTACAAAATGGTTGGATCTGTAATGAAAATGCCAGAAGATGAGGCAACACCTGAGAAGCGTACAGATAAGATATTTCGCCAAATGGATAAAAATGTTGATGGTAAGCTGTCATTAGAAGAATTTATTGAAGGAGCTAAAGGTGACCCATCCATTGTGAGATTGCTGCAGTGTGATCCCCAGTCATCACAATAATACTTTTTTGGCAATTCTTAGGTTAACTAAATTGATTTATAACTTTTTGGTCTGACACTAGTAGAGGGAACCTTTTTGAACCAAATCATCAAAATTATAGACAATAGTAAATGTCTTCAAGTATTTTACTCCTTTTAGATCAAGATCTCACAATACTTTTCACTACCAAATCGGTATATAATGTGATGTATTTGTGTTTTGTACAAATTATTTATAAATGTTTTTAATTTAAATGATGATAAAGATCTTTATTAATTATTACATTTTAATGTTTTAATATATTTTATGGTATTTCGAAGCTTAAGATTTACTGTTAGTTTTTTTTTATTAACAGTTTTCATAGATTTTTTTTTCATTCATATAAATTTCTATTGTAAATATGTTCATATTGATAGTGTAATGACAGAAATCCTTCTAATCAAAATGTTTTCCATGGGTTTCCCTTGAAGTTAGTTGTAATTTTACAAAACTTTCGTGAAACTTCACTTACAATCTTTTATTTTACTCAGAAACAATAGGAAAATAATTCAACTCCTGAGTTAAATTAAAGTGCTGTCTTGCAAAATAGCAACAGTAAAAAATCAGAGAAAATTGTAGTCAGTGTAGAGATTTAATATTTTAAAACTGATTACTAAGGTGACAACTATACAATATATTAGTTCGTGTTGATAATCCTTTCAAAGCATTTATTTTTTAATTCATTATTTTAATGTGGAAATGGATAATGAGCTAATATTCTATATTTTTATCTATCTTGAGTGTAACAATAGCCTGTTTTATAGAAATATTTTGTATTATTTATCATAAGCTTTGTAGCAAAACACTAATCCTTCCATCTCCCCCCCCCCAAAAAAAAATAAATAAAATCAACTTACTGTACATTGTAGTATAATATTAAACCAATGTAAAAAAACTAGTAAATTTTAAATTATTTATTATGCTTAACAGAATTGGTAATACGAAACAAAACTTTTATCAGATCATCATAATGTACTTTCACTTTTATATATAGAAGCTTTGCCTACAGAAAAATGATTTCATTTAAAATTTACTGGAGTAACTTCAATTGAAATATCAATACAAAAGTAACATCCTCCTATTTCACAAAAGGCTATTCAGGCTTAAACTATGCAATACTTATTGTAGTTTGTTCTTTACAAATTTTTAACTCTTGATTAACTGAACTTTCCCGTTTGTAGCTAATTTTAGAATTTAAAATTTACAAATTGATGCAGAAAAGGCATGGCCACGGTAAGTATGGTGTAAGTTATGTCTACTTTTATTTTTCACTAAGACTACTTCACTTAATGAAATTTCATTCAGAGATTATTGAATGAACATAATGTAATTTCATATTTATTCACCACAGCAAGTGGATATTATAACAAAATGTAACTTTTATTTTTTGTACTTTCACCAGAAGTTCTTAGAATTATTACTGTAGTTTTCTCCCATTGACTGACGTGTTCCAGTAACAAGAAGACTAATTTGCTACTTTGCCAGTTCTTCTGAATGATAGTAAGGTTAATCCAAATAAAATAATAATAATAAGTAAATGTTATCAAAAATAAGTGATGTTATTAATCCTTAACATAAAAATGTGATTTATAATTGATTTAAATTATTATAACTCACTCACTTAACCTAGTTTACACCATTACAATTCTTGTTCATAAACACTGATGACATATCCAGCTGGCCTGATAAGCCAGGTATCAGACAAAAGACCTTGTCGGTATTGGATATGGCATATGTAGTGTGATTGATATAAGATATTCTTCTTTACTTTGACTCTTAAGCTCTTTGAATAGATGCTGTTTGCATTTTTTCTTAATAGTAATCAGGTACAAAAGATTATTTCACAAACCTATCTAGATCATTATTTTTAAATAAATAACTGATAATCTGCCAAAGCAGGATAATTATGTACAATGATAGTACAAACAAAATAATACATTGTTATTGCAGAAATAAATGAAAGCTGATATGTAATTAGAGGCCTAAATTGACCTATATAAATTCTGCACAATAATGGTTACATGTTTAAAAAAGTTGGAAAAATTAAAGTGCATATAGTGTTTAATAATAATAATGTAAATAGAGACAAAATACTACAGAGTAAACAATTTTTTATAGACAAGTATAAAATTGCAACTTGAAATTTTAAAACACTGCTTAATTATGATATAATAAATTATATAGAATAAACCAGATTTGAAACATTTAGTGCAACATGAGTAAAAATAATTATTTCCTGTGAGACTGCTTTTTTTTTTTTAAATACTTTCCTAAGCTTTCTGATTTTATTGACTAAATGAATTATATGCAATCTGGGAAACATTCTTTGTAAAATAAAATAAACAGTTGTTTAGTTTGGTCTTTTATATATTTATAGAAAAAGATTATATGGATAAATTAAGATTAGTAAAATTTTTTGACTTACTTGTTGGATTATCATTAAATAGCAACTTCATTGGTTGTTTTTACCTCTGGTAATCCTTCTACAATGTATTGTTGTTATAAAGCAGTACTAAGTTTCAGTAAAGATATTGTACATAGTCCAAAATTAATGTTTTAAAAAATACTGAATATGAAGTAAATATACTGACATACAGTATTTTAGAATTTAGTCATAGTGTTTCATCAAATTTAACAAAAATATTATCTTGAGAAAAATGTAATTTTAAAATGAAAAAATATTTATAATAGATTTGATTGTAGTGGAAACAGCAGCACAGTTTTTCTTGTTTAATTTTTTTTTACAAGTACAGGATATTGTGAGCTTCGAAGCAAGAGAATAAACTATGTAGTTTGTTGTTGATAATTCTACATTTAGTACAAAATCAATACCAAAAATATTGTTCCACCAACAAATGAAGTTACTTTTAAAAGTGTAGAAGGTGCATACATTATCATTAAAATATAGCAAAAGCAATGATGGGATTTAAATGAGCTATCATGTATATGTGTACTATGAAATATTTAGAGAGAAAAGATGGCATTATATAGTTTATTCATGTATATGAATTCAATTGCTTCTAAAGCATTTATTAGTATCTGTGTGATACCTCAGCAATTTTTTAGAGTTATGTTTACCAGCAATAAACATTCCTGTTGGTGACGCTAGTCATTTAATGAATTTGACTAAGGATGGATAAGTAAGTGGAGGTTTTTTTTTTGATAAAAGTTTTGGTGTGTCTGTAGAGAAATAGTTGAGAAATAGTGTTTATTTTAATAATTAGCAGAGAACTTTAAAAGATACAGAAATATGATAGAATAATAAATTATGTTGAATTTAAGATTTGGAACCAAGTTTTGGTGTTTAGTGTAATAGTAAGGATACTTCTTTCCTTCAACACTAAATAAGAGGTTCTGGGTTTAAATTGTTTTACTTAATAGATGGATTATCATTATTACAGACATCACTGACTGTTTGTTTGTTTTTTCCACAAAATAATGCTTGTTTGGGTTAGTGCTATGTTTTAGCCATGGTAGTGTTTTAGTATTCTGATATAAGGTAGGAGAGTAAAAAATTTTGTAAATATTCCATATTTAATTATTCCGTGTAAATTAAAGATGTTTTCTTGATACACAGCAATTTATTTTAGAATTTCATGTTAGTATCTCATCAAGATTGACTTAAACATTTTGATGTGATTATTACACTTACTTTGAGGTATATGTAATGATAAAGTAAAATGAGAAAATTACTTGTAAGATTTGTTTTGAAGGAGAGAAAACCAGAATTTTCTTTTCGAACTAGAAAAATAATGTTAGCTTTAAAGCAATTTAAACTGTAGTTCATTGTTGATTACTGTACATTTGGGATAAAATCAATGCCAAAACTATTGTGCCATCAGCAATAAAACTACTTTGAAAGCAAGGAAACTGTGTACATTATCATTGAATTAAAACAGAAAGAAATAATGAAAATTAAAAACAAGGACCCTCCAGGAGTACTCTGCAAAATATTAGGAAAAGAGAAAGATGGGCATTTCATTAATATACAGTAAGTTAGTGAAACTATTTCAGAAATACATATATATTAGTCATCTAATGAATTGAACTAAAAAGTTAGAAAAGTGGAGTATTTTGACAAAAACTTTACTCTTTCAGTAGATATTATTATTGTGACATTCATAGTTTAACCTTTTCTACTTTGACTGGTTGCTGGAGAGCTTTTGATAGTTAGTGAAATTATAAATACGCTGATTTTCCTGAACTAGTCAAACATGAATAAGATTTTGGTTAAAAACAAACCTAGTAATATGTAAAATAAAAACAAATATATTTACTAAAGGTTTTAGACTGAGATGAAACCTTAATTACCTGATATGCTTCAACAGCTGACCGCAAAAAAATATTTTGAGGGCTACATATATTTTAATAGTTTATAGGAAAGAATTTAGAAGGATTTGACTATTTAAAAAAATGCATAAGTTATATAATTAACTATATAATATTGAACTGAGTATTGTTTTAAACCATATTTTTTTCTACAAAATTTGTATCCTTAAGAATTAAAAAAAAATACATATTTCTGTGGTGTTCAGTTGAACTGATGTTCAACAGGTAGCCAAAAGTCCCAAAACAAACCCAGGTTCCATAAATTATGTGCAGACAATAAATTGAACATGTACAGCAAGCAAATACAAGTAAACAAATGAAGACAATCACAAATATATGAAAGTCTTTATACCCATACTGTCCAGCCTCTCTTACTGGGTGAAGGGCAAAATCAAGGGACTGAAAGAAAAGGAGAGAGAGAAAAATCAAGAGAGTCAGAGTTGTTTGGATAACTCATTTTCATAGTTGGGCAGAAGCCCTTAGTGCAGTATCCCACAAATTTCTTTAAAATAAAATAAAAAACAGTTTGTATGGGTTTGGAAAGGTAAACTTCCTATACATCCATACAGTACATGATAGTTTGAGATTTAAGCAACTCAAATTCCAATAAGTAAAGTAGAATTGTGTCTAACTTCACAAATAAATTCAGAATTATATTTATGTAGTCCTTAAAATATTATTAACCCGCAACTGAATACATTTAACACAAAACTTGTGGATTATGGCTATCTTGTTCAGAAATATTAAGATAAAACATGCAGTAATATTTTCAAAGTGTAATGTACATCAGTGAAACGTATTTCTGAAATGCTAAGTTTTCTTTCATTTTGATTAATTATTAGTTGTGATTTTACTTCATAAAGACAATCTCATTTTTTGTGAATAACTCAAGTGCCTCATCTGCAACATTCTTTCAACGCCAGTAAAAACGATGGGTTTACCATGTTTTTCATCTTGTGTTATGTAGGTTCTGTAACAAACCCATGTCATTCTCTTGGTGAGATATCACACACTTATGCGTATTCAGTTTGGGAACCAATTGTGTAAGTTCTTTATGTGCATTAAGATAACACAGAATACCATGTTTATCTCTCGATGTTGTCTATGCTAATCACAAGCCAGAATTCTTTATTTGGCTGAAAAGTTGTGTTAAATGTGATAAATATGTGTATTTAATTAAATATACACAAACTGGGTCATATACATAATTCCAAATATGCTTATACCATTGTACATATTTATCCTTTGTCACGTATTAACCAAAGAGTACTTGAAATCTGACATCACCTTTCCAAAGCAACTGATGTCAACATTTATAGCAGATGCATTCTCCACATGCTAAAACGTGTGCAAATCTTCAGGCACCACTTAAAGAGTTAAATTTACTCCAGCGTGAACAACTCATAATAATAAAAGCAGTCACTGATGTAAATACGCAGAAATTGTCTATTCCTGCGATAACCTTGTATCCAAATATCATTCACGTTGTCAGCTACAAATTATTCAGTCCAACATAGAATGTGCACATGAAACTAAAGCAAAAGTAATTAAAAGTATACAGATACGGCTTTAAGAGTGGGTTGTTTATTTTCATTTTTTGTCTAACTTTATTACAATATTTCACGACTCGTGGCAATCTTCAGGTAAGTGTCGTCTATTGGGTGAAATACTGCGCGAGCATTTTTTTTCCAATTTAGAAAATATATAGGGTGACAAGTGTTTTGATTTATGTTAGATTTTTGTTCAGAATAATTAATGCTTCTTTTATTTTTCTTCTATTAATGTTGTTCTCATGGCATAATAAAGTTGTTAATGTTAATTGGATGTTGATTCGTTGTGCTGTGTTCATAAATGTGTGATGGGGTATTATTATGTTCTTTGATCTTAATGTTTATGTTGCTTCTCGTTTCGCCTATGTAAGACACAATTGATGGAGAAAAATTAATAAAAAATACTTGGTAGTTCAGTTATCTCTCAATAGATGGAGAAAAAATACTTGGAAGTTCAGTTATCTCTCAATAGATGGAGAAAAAAATACTTGGAAGTTCAGTTATCTCCCAATAGATGGAGACTGTACTGAACTATTATTAAAAACCTTTACTTAAAATATAATAGAAGTAAGTACTGTCACTACCTTATACTTGCACAACAAACACGTCCTGATGCTCGTACAATAAATATTAATTTAAATCCCTTTGTGTTCATTCCAGAATGAGAGATGCATAATTTATGTGTATTTCATAATTTTTTATGGTGGTTGCCAGATCGTTCAAATTTTCTGGACCCGAACAGAAATTGACTACTGAAGACAATATTTAAAATATAAAGTTTTCTCTTAGGAAACGTTTGTAAACTATTTGGACAATATAAAAGTTTCGCATATGAAAGTTCAAAAATTTTCTGATGCACAAAAGTATTTTTAATGT